TTTTATTTTTTTATTTTTTTATTTTTGTAGCTACTGCTTTTAAAAGTGTTTCAAAATTTTCTTTAAGATTGTATTTTGGATATTTCATTTAAACAGCCCATTTATCCTTATTATAATTAGGCATTTATTAATTATAATTCGACAAAATGTAATTATTGCAAACATTTTAACCAATGCACTATAGCTGCCTATTTCTCCACACACCACTTTATGGCTTAATCCTTGGTTTAATTCATGTATGTCATGTAAAATAAGTGATTGTGTTCGGTAACTGTTCGCCCCCTTTAAAGTGACAGTTCTAATTAAACTCAATTATTTAAAAATTACATGTCAGGGGATGGACACTAAAGGATTTCCAAGGCCCAAAATATCCTCTGGTCTGTTAAATCTATCAAGAAGAGAAGGAGGGAAAATGGGACATGTGCAAATCTACCAATATGGATGTCCTCATAAGTGACTGTGTTGGAGAATAGTAGAGACCATCAAGGCGATCACAAAGAGCTCGTCTTGGTTATTTTTGAGACTAGTTGAGATAAGTTTTCTTCAACAGTGTGCTTTTCTTTGCCACACTTCCATAAAGCTCACACTAGGGTTGGGCAAAATTAATCCYGAATCATCAGCACTACAGTTAATATTTGCCACTTTGCAATTACTGACGTTTGCGCATGTGAYGACACAATCAGAAGCGACTGTGAGCAAATAGTGGAAGGCGGCATGGAGCAGCTAACCCTAAACATCGATATTAACCAGAGTACAAGAAAGCCAGAAAATGCAAAACGAGGCAATGTTGGTCCCATACAAGTGCAACTGTCGTCTGTTAATCATCATATTAATCCTTATGGACTAAATACCACAATTAATAGTGAAACATTTTTGTCAGTATTGCCCAACTGTAGCTCAGATTGATGAAGGACCAGGGCAACCGTTGTTGCGTCGTCTCTATCATATCACCTGCTAAGGCTTTCAGAGCAGGTTTCTTGGTTTCAAAGGATTGACGGCAATAAGACATCCAAGGGGTGAATATTTTTAGAGGCACTCTAGCTTTTTAGTTTAGTTGCAGCTGTACATAACTTTACACTTGAAGTATTTTTTTAATTCAGTGTTTGAATTTACCATCATGGCATTTTAGATTTTTGGTATAGTTCTATGAACCAAATATGTTGCACCTAAACATTTTATTTTATAAACTCAAAGGTGACATTATGGCCCCAAGATCTCAAACTTTTTTTGTGTGTAGGTGGTATTTTTATCAGCCACCCTGAAATGACAACATTTGCCTTGTGACCTTTTCAAAAATTATATTATACACTATTGGTGATTGTTACAAGACTTTGACGATAAAAGGGAACCAAATCCAGTCAGGTACCAGTGATGGGACTTGTTGGCTCTTTTCTGGGATCTGGCTCGTTTGGCTCAACTCACCAAAGAGAGCCGGCTGAGAGCCGTTGGACCCATCCCTATCCAGAACTGTTACATTACTACATACTGTAGACTACAACAGGGCACATTGATTGTAACAGCCTATGGCAGGAACTTCACTGTGATATCAGGGCATTAAAATGGTTAGCTGAAAGCAAAAATGAGGGCTGTTACTTTTTATCAGTCCTTGTTGTGATATCACATTTTTTATTCCTCTTTTAATTTCATCTTATTTATGTGGAGTCTTTGCTTTTATCAGAAATTAAAAATTTCCAGGGATTCCTGTGAGCTGGTAGCATTAACTTTTGGTACGTTGCTCCTTTAAAAGTCTGGTTTCTGTCATATTTATGAATGTAAAACTAAAGGTTCTGTGGGCTGCCCATAATGGCTTACACAAATTAAAAAAAACCTATATACAGTATATACATACATACATGCATACATACATACATACATACTGTAAAATATCAGTGCTAAACACATGAGTAATTGATGCTGTGTGAAAATCAGACTGTTTATCTTGACAATGTGCTGATCTGATTATGTGCAACTTTCCTTACTCTTCCTTTTGCACTACTGATGAGACTAAGGAGAGCACACCCTTTTGCTTCAAATAAAACATGCATCCTACCAAATGGAGACTTTCCTGACTTTGGTCTTTTGTGCTGATACTTGGATAAACATTTAAGTGTTTAAGGCTGAAAGAAAAAGAATTTTAGCCAAATCTAGGTCACTGAATAACTTTTCTCTCTCATCTTTAAATTTTAAAAGTCAAACATTTCTTGAAGGAAGTTTCGTGAAGTTTCCGTATCCTAAGATGTCAAGCTCATTTGTGTTGTGATGGACTCATAATACATCAAATTTCCAATCAATAACTGTGAAATTGACTGACTTTGCAATTTTTGTAGTTGCCGAGGTTGTTTGGCTGCAGCAGTCATCTTAAATCAGGTCGACTTCAAATGTCCATCAGTTGTAGAGGTATGTCCAATGATTATTTCCTGTAAGCTTCATTAAAATCTGTCCAATGGTTCACAGATAAAGGCAAAATCTTTATCGCCTGTTTTCATCTGGCTCTGGAAAAAGGGCTTTTTTTCCCCTCAAATTTTTTCGTTAGCTAGTATTCTAAAGTTGTTTTTCACAGCTTCACCCTAAAATGAACCTTGTTTTTAGTTTCTATTTAACACTTGAGGTCATACATCCAGTTTTGCATGGAGTCCTGAGAGACAATAAACAGTTTCTCTGCAGTAAAATTGAAATAAACACGCATTGCATTTTTATTTTCCCCTTCTCTTACAAAAGACAAAAAGCATGCATTGCATACTGTGAAATCAGAACTGGGCATACAAAAAATGCATTATTAGTTTTTTTTCCAGAAGTACATATTCTTTTTTTTTAAATCCGACTCAAATCCCCCTAAAGCACATAACATGATATAAGCACAAAGTATGGAGCCCAGATTTAAGAAAAGCAAATTTTCCTAACAGCATTTGTGCTAATTTACAACTTAAGCTGCAACACTCTTAATACTTGCATGAAAAGATATGAAGGGATTCAATTTACGGCCACAATTAAACTGGAACACTTTACAAAAAGCATCACTGTGGTGAAAAACTTAAAATGGAAAGCCCCTGCAGTGATAGCTGAGCACTGTCAGGAGACGTTGAATGTGTTTGTAGCGTACGGAGAGCACAGTGTCCCTCCTCTGTCCCTTTGTGTCCTCCTGTACAGGTCAAAGCCTCTCCTTTCCTCTTTCGCCCTTTGCCTTAGCATCTTCAGGTACACCTGGTACACAGCCAAGTGAAGGCAACAGTGCACCTGTGGACACAAGGAGAGAGGATACAAAGCAGTGTGTGGCAGGGAGCCAGGGGATGAGAAACAACTGTTACCGGGCTTTCAACAGGAACAAAATGCAAACATCAAAGCATTGCTTTTATTGTCAAATACTATATTTCTGACACGCACACTCAAAAACAAGCATCTATCAGCCAGCTGCTACTTTACAAGTCCACCCACTGAAATAGAAATGCACTGGAATTGTCACCGTCTGTTCTAGGCAAGAATAGTGGTGGCMATTTTGCTAGGTGCTACATGTACACACAATCAACACCAGCCTAGAAATGAATAAAAATAGCATCATTTTACTTAAGCAAACACACAACACAATGTGAGAAGAAAAAGTCATTATTATTCTGTAATGAGTCTCTCACAAAGCCTGGTCAACCGTTAGCACTAGCAGAATATCAACCCAGCAGGCTACCTCTCATACTGTGATGAAATTATCCTAGCTAGACCAGACCATAATAACTCGTCTRCTTCTGATCAGAGCACTGCTACCAGCATCTGCAGTTAATTGCATTTAAGACTAATAGCTTAAACTTATTTAGTCATTTCTCTTCATAATTTTATGAAGATTTAAGCCTTAAATAACATTCATTTTCAATTTGTAGACATGAGTAACTGAGCTTTTATCTAGCCTATTAATTTTTCTCATGATAGGTAAAAGTTTTAAAATTGAATATAACATTAACTGTTTTATACCGTCTAAACTCTGCTTTACAATAAACATAGCAATCTAGCTTAGAGAGAGCTATGACCTCTGATTTAAGAGTTTGTTAGCCTCGTCTGTTCAAAGAAAAACAAATGTGATGTATTCGTTGAAGTTCATTTCTATGGTCCAGGAAGGATGCCACACATTGCACCTGTCAAGATGGCGGCAGGRATTCTCCACTCTTTAGCACAGACAGCAGTGTAGTTGGCCATTCCAGCGTTTTCCTATTTTGGTGAATTCAACACAACTAAACAGGGCTTCATTACTAATATACTTTGCAGCATTTTTTTAGTAAAAGTCTTTCAAAAGTCAAAAAAGGTATTAGTAAAATTATATATAAGTAAAAGCTGTGTTATACAATAACTACAACAAAATTCCTAAAGAATTAATAGTCAAAATGTTTTACCTTTATGAAAGTACCTCAGTCATACAAATAGCAAGAGGAAATGCATTTTTTATATCTCTCATGCAATCTTTTTAAGTTGTCTAATATGAGGTTACATCATAAATTAGCCCACGATGCCATTTCACAGCGAGAATAAATTTTCAGACTTCACTAAATTTAATTTTATCAGTAGTAAACTGCTAAAAATAACCACCAAAGCATAATTTTTATCATTAGAGGATGCCGGGGGCTCACACAGCAGTGAATGTGTTGTATGTGGTCTCGGAGGAGCTGAGTTGAAGCATCTCAGAGGTCCGACCCGGTCTTTGTTCTGCTTTGACTTGAAATTCAACCCTTTGGCAGAGAGGCTCGTGATGCAGGTGGCCCCGGGAACTGGCTCCTCATTGGCTAACGTTTCAAAATGAGCACGACTGCATTGTTCGGGTTTTTCTCTCCGTACCGTGAGAAAAGTCCTGAGGTCAGCGTGAGACTGCATAMGCTTGTCTGCCCCCACAGCTGCCAGATGTGAGGGCCAGTATCCATGGTAAGCTCCAGCCCCTTTTCTGCAYAGCAGCTGTATTGTGCTTGCAATAGTTGAAAATTGCTACTTTTAAAATGTTAAGTTATTGTGTTATAAATTTAAGTAGAAAGTAAAACTTGTAAGCAACAACTGCCAAACTTTACAAATATTTTGGTGATTTAACAATAATATTCATCTGTAGGTAAAAGCAGCAATTATTTCCAATAAACAGAAAAGAGAAATGACAACCTTACAAAAAGTAAAAATATAAAAACATTTTTYATATAAAAGTCCATGACCACAGGTGATTTCGTGCAGCTGAAATTAAAAAGAAGAAAGAGTTGACGCCAYTTCCTTTAGGAGTCCCTTGTTGATGGTGAAGTGAAAGAGAGGACAGGAAACCGGGTGCCTAACACCTYGCACCTATGCCCTTTCTCCCAAGGTACCGCAGAACCGCAAAGTTATAGGTGGTGGAGACAGTATAGGTCAGCTATGAAAAGACAAAAAGAAGAAAGGAGGAGGAATTAGGTAGAGGAAATCAGATTAAAAGACCCACAGCATCCTGTCCCTTGGCAAATGGCAAAACACAATTGTGCTAATGGCTTTAACGCGATATCATCCCTCTGTAATGAAGCATGCAAGCATAATGGGTGCGCCATTTGCCTGYGTGGCTGGAGCACCAGCAGACATTACAGCATTATTATGGTGCTTGTTGTCAGCTGACAAAGAGGAACAGAGAGCAACAGTACAAGAGTCGTCAGTCATGGAGGCCWGAGATGCCTCGCTGCCTACACTTTGAGCGTCGCCTAGTCACATGAGCCATAACGCTGCTGTTGTTGTTGTTCCTAAAAGCCTTTGCATGAGTACTCACCAGAGCCAAGAGAGTGATGCCTGCACCGGCAAAAGCAGCAACGTACAGGTCATAGGTTATCCGGTACTGAAAAGGAGAAAATACTGAAGTTACTGTGTTTTTTTTTTTTAATTTTATTTCAAAAGCAAAGAAAAACTTGTGGCTCACGCTCTTACCTCTCTGGTTTTACAAACATTGGACAGGGTCATACCACAAGCTTTGCCTGGAACAGCATCCCATGGCAAGAGTCCTGAGGAAGAAAAAAGAAACCCGCCAACTTCCTTAATCCAACTTAAACTTAAAAACACTGATTGTTCTATAAAGTGCATACAAAAAAGTGAGACAACAGTGCATTTTCAATTTCAGAGTTCACTGGGTTTCAGCTTAAAACCATCATCTTGAAAATACTAATCTTGATCTTGGCAAACTTTCCTTAAACATTATACACGTGCAAGAAGCTTAAAAAAAACCCCAAAATAATAGATTACACATTTGATGTGTTAAGTTTTAACATCCCAAGGACAGTATGTGAGTGACAGACACATTACTAAGTGCACTATTGTGGATTATTTGGCTGTTTTTAGCCACTCTTTAGGGCAGAATGAAAATAGATGTTCAGGTTGTTGGGTTGGATGAAGGCCATTTAATAAATAGAAAAGGTTTATCAAAGATGATGATAATAGTCGCTCAGCACCCCACCTACACTCTCAGGCTGTCATCCTCCACCAAATTTACCCATCCACCTGCTCATCTGACCAGTAAGAGCATTAAAAACTCTACCACCATTTCCAAACCACTCATCAAAAATCTCTTTAAACAAGCATTTTCACTTTGACCTCCTTCTCATGTGACCCCTTATGTAAGTGTTATGCATGTCTATAATACTGTTTTTCATGTTTTATTCTCTTGGTTTTTTACTGCATTCTATTTTTTAGTGTCCTTGAGTACCATGAGAGGTGCCTTCTTTTTTTCCCCCTCTTCTAGAAGTAAACCTTCATACTGCAAACACTGCTATAATTTGCATAGATGTTTAAGAATATTTGCAAATGCAAATAATGGTAGTAACAGTTAGCTGGCTGCCAGTGGCTAGCATGGAGCATTTGTCAGAAACAAAAACAATATCGGMGTAACCGTATTAGGCAAAATATATGGTTGTGTAAAAGTTTCTCAGCTTGGATAAATCACTATGAGAGCAGAGGTCTTCTTTGGTACTGGCTTCAGTCTGAATAGTTGTGCCAATCTTATCAGAACAAATCCAACATTTCCACCCCAAACTCCTTTAAATATATCGATACGATGATAATTGTTCATAATCCTTCCACAAAACCACACACGTCAAAATATCTGAACTCTGGTGCTGAGGCTGTTCTGATCTAGCAGTGTTTATTGGTTTTGTTTATTGGTGTTATTCACGTCTGGATCAGTGATTTTGGCGTTTTATGGGAATTGACTTGTCAGTTGGTGGACATGTTACCGTATTGTCTTGCGTCGACGCAGAGCTGGTTGATGCTTGCAGGGGTCTCGGTCAGAACATCAATGGTGTGGCAAGTGGCATCCATGTTGTAAAAGAAGTAGACCGGCAAGGCAGAGAAAGCGAACACCAACAGCCACAGCACAGCAAGTAGATACGTCATCACTATGAACTGCACAAGGAGAAGAGAGAACCGTTGATGCACATGTATAATCCAAGAGTAAGTGGTGTCTCAGTGGCTGCATTTACTCGTTATTTCACCACTTAAACCCACACTGCATGTTGTTTTTTTGCAGAGAAATATGCATATTGAGCCAACATTCCCCAGTTTCATATTGCTGCTCTGGGCATTCTCACCGAGGAGCTGAGGCAGCGGCCACACATGGTGCTCCTGAACTCTCCGAAGGTTTGCTTGGCCACGCTTGTGGTGTAGAAGCCCTCAGCCAGCAGCACAATGCAGTAGAGGAAGAAGAAGGAGGCCAGACCATAGATGACATACTGGAAATATTGAATACTGAGAGAGAGAGAGAGAGAGAGAGAGGGGAAAAATAAAAGACTCTAAACCTCAAAAAAAGTACACACTGGGAGGTTAATTCTGTAAATGTTTTATGACTTACATGTAGGCGAGGGTCCTGTAGTCCTGAAGGTTACGAGCAAAGTAAGTCTCGATGAGCCTCTCGGTTTCTGTGAGCGCCTGGTGCCCACAGCCACAGAACAGGGCAATGCCAGAGAAGCAGAGCARTGTGGCGACGAGGGAGCAATATGGGACCCCACCCAAACAGCGCATACAGCAGTCGTAGCAACCTGTTTGGTTAAACAGTGCATCATTCAAGCAAATAAAATATACAGCAAACTGAAAAGGTAGGAAACACATAATACAACTTAAAAACATCTGAAAATTGGTCTTTTTTAATGTTTTACATAACAAAATCATCATAAAGTTCATTTATTTCTCATAAAGTGAATTCTGCTGAATGTTGCTGAGGATATCACAAAACTTTATTTAAATTGGAACCATTTATGTGACTTGACACAAGCAAGTACTGTTAGAAATCCACTTCAAAACATCCATACTATACTATTTCTTTATATGTAAAAGAAAAGTTAAATCTCTTACTTGTCATAACTTCTTGAATGATTACTGACTGTACAAATAAGCTAACGGCTAACAAAACATGACACCATTGAATGCAACCTTTATTTTGGCAGAAATATTTAGAAAATCTTGCCGAACATAAACTCTAGATTCCCTGGAAGTGCTACAGGTTGCTAGCTGATTAGATTTTAATGTAAAAAGGTGTGTAAAATAAAAAAATTAAACAAAATTAGATGAAATGTTAAAGATTAAAATTGTTTTAGCAATCCATTTTTTTTGTTTCACCTCAGTTTAAACTAGCCRTTAGTGACTGGTCTTCTCAGACCTCAACCCTTTCTCCAAACTGAAGCCACTCAAGAAGCTATCCACAACAGGTAAGATATTTATAACTTTTTGCACAGAATCCCCCTTCATACAAATCGAGCTGCAGTTGTTAAATCGCCACATCTTGTCATGTGCTGCTTGAAAGGATGCCAAAAGGCACGGCGATGCCCCTCCCCACCTCGCACCCTGACTCCATTCACCACCCAGCATGAAGAGTGTGAGAAAAGCCGGAGTACAAGGATGAGAGACAAGAGGCAGCGAAAGGAAGGGACAAAATGAGAGAGAAGCTGCTTTTGTGACTGGGGAGACAACAGTCTTTGTCCTGATGCATTGTGGGGGGCACAAGGGCCACCAGTGTCAAGCAAACAAAGACTAGAGGCACCTCTTTGCTTGAGACACACACACACAAACACATTCAGGCTTCCTTCTGAGGAGACGGACAGAAAATGGGGGGGAAATGATAGTGGGGGGGTGGAGCTGCCAGTGCTGAAGAGGATGGAAATCTGAACAAACAATGCAACTGTGTACATGTGCTCCATCACACAGTTTGCATGCAGGCAAACACACAGGCACAGACAATGGGAGCTGACAGACTGTGGTTGGTACCATTACAGTAAACACAGATGGCTGCAGGGGCAAACAGAAAGAGCTTTTTAATTGAAAACATTTACATGGCTCTTTGTTGGTTGTCTGGAGGAGAAACAAACTGAGATCTCTGTCAGTCAGATAGAACTAGTTATTTTATTAATCGCCTGGCTGTTGCCAAGAGGCAAAGGCTGGTGATTATGCTTTTGTCCACTTCTTATGATTGTCAACGAAAAGGGTTCACTTTTGGAGCCCATCTAAGTCAAGATGGCCACCACAGCCTGACCAAAACTCACTATAACCCAGTCAGTTTTACAATTTGGTAATGTGGGACCACTTTCTAACATATTCTGAGCGTCATCAGATTGTACATTTTTATTTAAAGTTTTGCCACAAACTAGTCAGTTTTGTCTGTTAGCAAAATCTCTTATGAACCACTGATGCGTTTTTATTACTTTCAGAGTTATAGACTTTAACTCATTACTTTTTGGAGTCATTCATCTCAAGACAGCTAAGCAACATTAGTCAACACAAAAATGGCTATAGCTCAAGTTATTTTTTAACATAAAATTCGACAGGTGAGAGTCATTCAAAACACAAGCTGAGAAAGKTATCTCGCGATATTTAACGAGATCGCGCTGGACGTTGTTTTCAGCCCCAGCTCTAATTTGTCTACACGAGATCAAAGTATAAAACTCCAGCATGAAAGTCCGCGGGCGTAATGCATTTTTAAAGAAACGCTGTTCGTAAATGCATTAAGCTTATTAAGTGCAGAAAGAATCAAAGGATTCCGCCGTTTAGCCCCCGTGCCTTCACACACCTTGAACCAATTAGCCAATTAACACATCAGCAGGAGGATGGACGCTCTGAACTTCGTGACCCGAAAAATATAAACAACTATATGGATAATAATAATAATAATAATAATAATAATAATAATAATAATAATAATAATAAGAAAAAACTCAGGAGAAGTACTTGTAAATTGAAAAGCTGGGGCCAAGTTCGCCTCAAAAATATATATTATTTATTTTTTGAAAACGAGAAGGACTGAAGCAGAAAGCAAATGCGACAAGGCTGCTCATGCCTGCTCAAGCATGAAATAAATCGTATAAAATCAGCGGTGCATCAGCAGACAAGAATAACTTTTGAAGACCTCTCACAATCACGCTTAGAAATCATAAACATAAAACTCAAGTCAGTTTTGATAAATGTTATATATAAAAAAGGTGAATCTAAAGAAGCCAACAGAGTTCAGTTTCTTACCCATGTCTGGTAATGATTTCAGGACCTGTTGATTCGGCCGCAGCTGCTCCTCTGATGATGTGCTCCTCTCTCGCCTTCAGCCCCCCAGTATAAATCAATCTCTGCTCCCCCTCCTCACCACCACCACCCTAACAATGGACAGACCCACTGATGGCTGCAAGTGCAAGAAACAACGTCGCTTTTCAATGAACTTCAGGGCGGGGAATAATGAGAAGGTCAGGGTTCTTAAAACTCGCAGATATGAAGTGAGTTCATTGTGGAGGAGGACGATTTGCATGGAGAGAGCAACGTGCATCTTCTTATGCAAATACTTATGTGGACAGAGGTTTTTTTTTACTCCCCTTTCCCTTTCTTTTTTCCTCCCTTTTTTTTGTTTTGTTCCCATGGAAAAGTTTGAATTCATTGGAGAGTTGAAATTTAGAAAATCACAAGCTTTTTTTTGTCAGCATCAGCCACTGAGAAAGGAACCGAACAAGTGACTGGCTTTAGAAGATATACATTTTATTGAGCAAGTAAATCAGTAATTGGATAGGCTACAGTTTCTGTCAAGGGTTAAAAGACAAAACAAACAAACAAACAAACAAACAAACAAACATGTTCTTATAAAAACAAAACAGTAACGAAACCGAAGAGGATCCACCGTAACAACAAAAGTAAACAAGCCTACGTTTTGATGTTTGAACTGTAAGAAGCAAGGCCAAATGAAATGCTAAAGCTTCTGCCAATGGCTCATTGATTACCATGGTAACCTATGACTCTCACTCCCTGACACCACTCATTAGCCACACATTTAACTGTAAGCTGTCTACAATTCTTAAACCATGTAAACTCTTATAATCACACATTTTATGGCTCTACAGTGTTTTTATAAGAAGTAAGGCAACAACAACAACAACAACAACAACAAGGCAACAACAACAACAACAACAACAACAACAACAACAACAACAACAACAACAACAACAACAACAACAACAACAACAACAACAACAACAACAACAACAGACACTGGGTGAAAAATACTAAAACCTCTGTGTTTTGGTGTAGAATCTGAATGTTGTAGGAACAGTCTGTTTTACAAAGTTTTGGAAAGTTCAGACAGCTCAAATGTTRAAATAACATAATCAGCCCTAAGCTAAACATCCTCTACAACAGAAGTGCCCAAAGTGGGGCCCATGGGCCAAATTTGGCCCCACTAGCAGTTATCCTGGTTACCAGATTGTAATCTCCTGTCTTATGAAGAAATACTATATTTACACTTAGTCTTTTCAACCATTGGTCCAACTATAGGTACAAGGAGCTGTCATGCAGATAGTTTTAACTCGTGGTGCTCACTTTATCTTTGAATAATGTTAAGATTAAACATAAAATACAAGTAACTTCAACAGACATTTATATTAGATCTAAGTGCACATCTAGATTTGCACACCTTATAAGACCACATATACTCAAATTTTAAATTATGAAAAGTTTCATGAGCCTTTGCTGCCCGAGAAAATATTGAATTTTCTCTATGTCCATGGGCTGAAAAAAAAAAAAACACAAACCAAAAAATGTGGGCAACCCCACTGGCTGCTAGCTTAATCATAAAAAATACAACTTTTTTTGAAGTATTTGCATTTCGTGTATTATCTTATTGAATTTGGCCCACCACCCTCAGATTGATTTTTATTTTGGCCCTTTCAGGGAAAATGTTTGGGCACCCCTGCTCTACAAGAATCTTCAAAAATCCTGCAACTGATGCTGTGATTGTGTAAAAAACAATTCAAGATGTCTAAATGCCAATTCAGATATAGGTAAAGTCCAACTTTTTGTGATCCTTTCAAGCTTCTAATGATGTTTCTACTGTGAACTGTGCCTGATATGTCTAACTCCAAAACAGGGCTGGGGTTTCTCACTTCTTTCATCAGAAAATGTTCTGTATGGAGAAACTTCTCAGTTTTTTTTTTTTTTGTAGATTTTGTCCATTTTGTACAAAGCATTGCACATAAAAGTCACAGTTATTCTCAATCTGAGCTGCACAATTTGATGCATAATTTGCAAGATTTATTATCATTTTTTTCCCCAAAACAGCGGTGCATACAAACAGACAAAGCATGTGAAAAGAATAGTGGGCGCTTCATTGCTTATGCATTGGCCCCCTTTGTGAGAGGGGGGGTGGATTAGAAGTGTAACACTTAGGAGAACCAATTATATCCAGTAAGTAGTGAGATGTGGCTMTCTAGTTTTGAGGAAATTGTCAGATCCTATCTGACTGAACCCTTGGCTGAACAGAAAAGATCTGATGCAGCTGGCGAACCTGATACCTGCTTTATCGCCGCTATCTTAAATGTGCTGCTTTGTCGAGGAATGTTGTGCTGAAACACAAATTAAATGAGGCAAACAAAACGCAATTGAGTTCTATTGAAAGGCAGACAACGATCTCTGCAAGAGGGGGTAGAATGAGAGGCAGTGAGGGGTGGCAAGTGTCCCTGCACCTTGAAGCTTCCTCGATGAAAACAGCAAAACAAAAGATAGACAAAAAATTGATGCACTGCATAACATGATCAATTCCAGCWACAATTCTCAGCTCGAAAGGAACAACTTACAAAAAAAAAAAAGATGCAACATGAGTGGAGAAGAGCGGCTTGGACACGTCACTGTACGCCCAAGTGACCCGACAGTGGCAAAGTGAGAGACTGTCTTCTGATTCATCCTTTCCTTCTGGCCAAATACCAGAAAAAGGAACCACATTTAGCTCCGTCTATGTCCAATAGATGGCAGACTTTCTCCTGCCACAGCTTTGGATTTTAAGCAGTAGTTTTAACTTCATAAAGCAACACACTCATGCATGTGTCTTTTAAATAGGCAATCATCATCTATAATTAAGACGCTTTAGTTTCACTTTGCAGACTCACTTGTCAGGCAGGTTAAAACCTCTTTATCAGAAATACAATAACCTAAATGTGTTTAGGGTTTTAAACCTGTAAAGAGGGTTTGTTTAATTTATAATATGGCTTTTTATTTGATTGTCACATAATATAGTGAGCCTCATGGTGAGCCTTATTAAATTATTATTATTTTGCTAGCTCAGACGTCCTCAGAGACGCCACTCATGTCATACAAGCCGTGTTCTCCACTCCAGGCAGGTTGTTGTACATTGTGTTTTACAGGCACAGTTTTCCCCCCATACGGGCGTGCAATGAACAGCTCGCAATACTGTGCAGATAAAAGGTTGTTTTGTTTTTTAAATAAATAAAACACTCATCCCTCCCTTCCTTGTGTAATTGTGCTTCCAGATTTGTAGACACATTGTATCCTGACTTATTCATATTTAATGTATCACTTAACCTGCTTTAGATCTGACTCATTCCCTTAAATGCATCAAAACAAGATGCCTGTTGCCCCCTCTCTCTTTTTAATTTTTGAACACAGCATGATTTCCGTTTGTGCATTAGTTATTAAAAAAGGCACACCTGTTATGATTCTATGAGTTCAGCACAGTTGGTTGTCTCAGTTCTGGGTGAAATCCAGCAATGTGGGTGACAGGCGGTGTTATCAAGTAACGGCTGTGCTGAGGAGACTTGAGACGCTTGTGCGCTTTCCCTCTGCCGCCTCTCACCTGTGCGCAGACCCGAGCTCGTCTCAGGGTTACTTCTTTAGAGACTTTCATCACTCTTCCACTGAAGGAACATCAAACCCTTGTGTGTCTAAACACTGCAGGCTCCCCATCACTCTGAGTCAGAAATTTGAGAGCGGTCCAATTTACTCAGCAGACGATTACCTCAATTTTCCGACTTAACCTGGGATTTCTTAAAGTTAATGATGTCAGTACTGGCATTTACTGGGATATGTGATATCTTTTAGTGGCTGTGCAGTGCACTTCGTCCATGACTAGTTATGTCTAAAATCCAAGAGACAGTCGTCTTTGCTGTTTGCTGGAAAAAACTTGTCTTATCAGAGCCTCTTCCATGCTTTGATGGTGAATCACAATGTAAGGGATCCTTATCAGAAAGTAGATGGACTTCATTTCTACACAGTGTCTGTCTTTTGCACTCAACAAACATCCAAATACAATGTTTCAGAATCATGGTGTTTTTTTCCCTTTTTTTTTACAAAGCAAGAAGCCCAAGACAAACACTCCAAAGATGTTTAATTCTCTGGCTGTTATCCTCGAAACTGCGAGTGAGATTATTCTTTGTTTGCTTTATTCTGTCATTCATCAGAATAATATTTGTCCTTGAGCCTAAGTGGAATCTCATTCTCTTTTGTGTATCCCCTCTTGGGTTTTTGTAATCTTCTATATTTCAAATATAAGCAAAGTGTTACCAGAAACAAAGCTAAAGATACGAGCATCAAAATCATGCCGGCGTAAATGTACAGATCGGCTGTTGCAGTTTTCACCTCGCAGACGGGGGCCATTGAGAGACTTTGAACCAAATCAGATGTGCCTGTCCATGTAGGTGCTCTGTCCAAATAACAGTGCTCCATGCTCTCGTTAACTAGCAGATTAACCCAAACAGTAGTGTAAAGTGGAGTTGGCTTCCCGTTATCTCTTACAACAATGAAGAGATGATGCATTCCTACGTCTTTTTGGAGAAGCTGATGACTTAGGGTGATGTTGCCTGATCTTGAATCTACCCGGAAGGGGCTGTTCTGTTGAGTCGGTTCTGGTGCGATGACAGAATATGTGATCTCAGAGTTAAACCCAGAGTCTTCATCGATGGCGTAGATTTTAGTAACTGTAGTGCCTGCCAGAGTACCTGGGGTTAGGGTCAAGCATGAGGAATTGCTGCTGGGAAGAATCACTTTTGGCTGGTTGTCGTTGATGTCCTCCACAAAGACAGTGACTCTGGCAGTGGACGTTAAAGCAACCGGGTGCCCATTGTCACTGGCCAACACATAAAGCTCATAACGGTCTTCAGTCTCACGGTCCAGGATGGTGGTGGTCCATAGAGTCCTCTGGGTGTTATCCATGACGAAGGGTGTGCTGTTGTTACCAACTCGCAGTTCTGTGTTCCCATTCTCTCCCTCATCTGGGTCTTTCACCTCTATCCTCCCCACCTGGGTAAACGGTAGAGCATTCTCTGGGATGAAAAAGACAAAGTGAGGGCTAGGAAAAACAGGTGCATTGTCATTCTGGTCCAGAACACGAATAATTACAGTGGCTTTAGTTTCCAGAGGAGGAGAGCCACTGTCTCGAGCAAACACGATAAGCTTGTATGCCCCCTGCTGTTCTCTATCCAGCGGAGCCAACACAGACAGTTGACCTGTCACAGAGTCAATGCTGAAGATGGCAGATGTGTATTCGTGCAGCCCGTAGGTCACCCTGCCATTGGAGCCGCTGTCTGCATCAGAGGCTGACACCTGCAGCAGTGTCATTCCCGGCTGGTTGTTTTCCTCCACCTCCAGCTGGTAGAGAGACTGCGAGAAGCGTGGGACGTTGTCGTTGACGTCCTGCACCGACACTCTGATCACTTGCCTCGACGGTGCAATCACAGACCTTTCAGGGAAGCTCGCTTGCACTACCACAGAAATGTGATACTCCCTTTTTATCTCGTAGTCTAGAGGCTCTGAAGTCGAAAGCAGATATTTGCCGCTCTGTGGGTTCAAAGAGAATGGCACGTCACCCTCAATGGCAAGAGATGAGCCTTTAAAGCTGCTGTCACCCTCCAGCTCTAAAACAGCTAAGACAGCGGGGGGCTGGTTCTCTGGTAACACCATAGTCTGATTGTGATGCTCAGCTATGAACCCGATCTTGATTGTGAGCTCTTGGGTCGCCTTGGGGTGCACAGATATGGTTACCCAAGTGTCTGCTGGGGGGCAGAGGGGGCCACTGGCTAACACTCTCAACACCAGCTCTTCTGAGTTGTTGTTCTGGAGGTCTTGTTTTAATCGTATGTGCCCTGTGTGACTGTCAAGGGTTAAAAGCTTCTTAGCCTTTTCAGAGACCTGGGGACTTAGCGAGTATACAATAGCAGCATTTGGACCTGTGTCTGGGTCTGTGGCGACAACCTGAGCGACCACTGTATTTTTTGGAGAATCTCCTGAAATGATGGCGCTGCGTGGGCTGTCAGGACGAAAGCTCGGACAGTTGTCATTAACATCTGTCACTGTGACCGTTATAGCCGCCGAAGCACTCAAAGGGTGTGTGCCACAATCAGTGACCACCAGCTGCATCTGATACAGGTCCTGAGACTCCCTATCCAGAGCGGTTTGTAAAACCAGCATTAAAAGTTCATCCTCTTCAACCTTTAAGGAGAAAACGCCACCAGACCCTTGCAGATGGTAACTCAGCTGTCCGTTACGTCCGACATCTTTGTCCTGAGCCTGGTCATCCAGGAAGAAGCTGGTCCCCACAACTACATCCTCAGACATTTTCAAGTGTATTTCACTGTTTTCAAAATGCGGTGCATTGTCATTGTCATCCTCTATGATAACAGGGAACTGTATGAGGTCTCCTGAGGGCCCCACGACAGCATTGTGCAGGACAATGCATCCTTCAACTTTTGTCTCCTCAGGGCAGAGGTGCTCACGATCTAGCTTGTGCTCAGTCGTGTAAAAATTCCCAGTGTTTTCGTCCATCCACAGGTACTCCTGGGTTAGGAGCTGGTACGGAGGTTGAAAATGTGTGCTCAGCGATCCGACCAGAGTATCAGGCTCCAGTTCCTCTCGGACATAAAACTGGATGGATCCACATGTGACCTGASTGATGTGTATTAAAACCAGCAAGTTCTGAGCAAGAGAAAGAGAAAAAAAAAACATWTTTTTAATTTAAGCTACCTGTATTTACAACTCAGTTTTTCTTGAACCAAAAAAAGTTAAAAAGCATTTTTTCCCCCTTAGTGATAACATTTCACAGCTCAGTGAGCTTTCGGAGAAACAGGACCCGTATAATGGTAGTGTTGTGATGCCTTTCATTTATCTCCAACCTATTACTCTCACAAACAAATAACACACCAAACAAATACCAAAAGGGGCATTTTTGTCTTACATATTTACATAAGGCTCATATCTTCACCTTCAGGAGCTTCTCAACATGCAGAATCTCCCATACAATCAACAGTTTCTCACTGATATAAAATATAGTTTTAAATTGTGCATTTGAGAATAACCTTAGTTGCCCTTTCACTCATTCAAAAACACAAAGATAGTAATAAGACACCAACAGAATTGATGATATCTTTTGTCTCACTGACCTGCAGGAGTCCAGCCCAGTTCATATTATAAGGGAGTCCCATGGCCCACTGCCCTCGCACATGTTACCCAAGTCCCCCGGCAGCGAGTGATCACAGAGCACCGAGGCAGCAATCTAAACCTGCGCAGCTGAAGGCGTAATTCATTGATGCCCCTCCTACAACACTTACCTGGCTTGTCCAACAGACATACTGTATGAGATCTAAAGTTACAACAGGTTTACCTGCATGAGACTAAAAACTTGTTTCTGCTATCGCAGCTGAACAATGTGAGCTCAGGTTTTGTACAAACACGTTGCAGCTAAAGTACACAGGACAGGCCTGACTTGTTAACATCAAATGTGCACTCACGCAACTGTTGTTGCCTGTTTTTATCACCAACCTTTTATCATACAATACTTTTCTTTCAGCATTTATATTTGAGATGCTTAAATTTATTGTGATGTCCGAGTTTTTGTAAATTTGACCGTTATCAGTACTTTCTAATGTTAATGCATCCCGACATGGTATTGTTCACAAACATTTGTTGTTTTTAACAATAATGGGAAAAGTAGCTGTTTTTGAAAAAATATTAGGAACATTTTAAAGTGTAATGCTAAATTACCTGGACTATTTAATTCATCATTACATTCTCCATTTCCCTTATCATGTACTAAAATATGTGATTTAAAGGGATGTGTCAAGTTTAAAGTGGGATATAAGTGGTCTGTGGAAAGGGTATAAACAATTATCACCACACCTGTTAYAGACAGCTCTTTAAATGTCCTCATTTTAGAGAAACAGAGTTTAGTTCGAACATATTTGATCAGTCAGGATCAAAGAAGAACTTGCTAAAACAACATAAATCTTCAAAATTTCATAGCAGATCACACAAACATTCTGCAGAACTTTTTGCAGTACAAAAAGCAGCAGCAAGATTTAACGTTTTGGATGCCGCAAGGGGTCAACCCTGGCAGAAGTTTCATATTTGTTTTAAAACCCACAGCTCATTTTTGTGTGCATGACTTGCAATTAAAATTCTTGGCCGTACGCACGATTCAGTTTTCTTTTATAAAATAACTATTATCATGCGGACATGTTTTATTTCAGAGTTTCATACATGTGTCAAAATACAACAATAAAACAACAAAGACACAATTTGGACAAGTTCAAGGCATCCATAATGACAGTATGAATGTATCGAGAAAAATTTTGTTGCACAGTTTTTTTTTTTTTTTTGCTGAGTAACTCAAGCGCCAGGACTGCAGACATCACGTGTGGAAATCACAAATCTCCCAATCTTTCAACAGAACCTCATTTTGGCTGAACAATCATTTTAAAACTGAAACAATACGGAATCAAGCTCTTTTAATTGGTCACAAGATTAAAAAAAGAGAAAATGCTGTAAAATACCCACTGTAGTGTAGGTCTATAAGCAGTAATTATTAAAAAAAAAACAATAAAAACTCCTAAAGGCCATGTATGTGGTAATTAGGCAATTCTGCTTTTGTTTTGTACAATTATGTGCTTAAAGAATTTACGCTTCTCCACTAATTAGTAAAATCACTTTTAAAAGTGTCCCTGGGACTAAACGTAAGTGAGGGACCTCTGTAGGCACAGCAAAGTACAGCTCCCAACACAACTTTGTGTGTGCGCTTGTTTGTTTGTGTGTTTTAAGCTCCCTAAATGACCACCTTTTCCCCCTTCCTATGCAATTCATCAAGGACTCAGAAACACCAAACCTAAATTTAGATTTGACAGTAATGTGACTCATTGCTGTCATCAGATTCTTCTGCACACACACACACACACACACACACACACACACACACACACACNCACACACACACACACACACACACACACACACACACACACACACACACACACAAAGAAAAGGAAGGGAAAAAAATGTGCAAAGAACAAAAGCCCCTTGCATTAACTCTTTATGATCCCTCTCATTTCAAAAGCATGTGAACTATTTCCACCCTGTCTGGTTGCGTAACGGTTCTTATTCATATCTCTGTCATTTTACTTTCCGCCCACTTTTTTTTCTCTCTCTCTCTCAGAGTTACTGTAAACTTTGAGGTTTTCCTGTGATGTGATTGGTCGGTCAGATCCTCTAACTGAGCTGCTGGAGAATAAAACTTCAGAGCTGCCTGCCTGCAGCCTTATAGCGCCTCTTTAAGCAGAGAAACACATTGAAGGTTGAGTTATTCACAGATCCAACATGTCTTCAGACATCCTCGCAGGTGAGACCAACTTCAATCAATAACTTTAATGATCAATCACAAAAATCCTAACATCCTTTTTTAAAAACATAATTCAAAAGTTTACATTTKACTTGTTTTTTATTTATTTTTTGTTTAGATTCATGGTTTTAAGGCTTTATTACACATAAATGAAAAATTCATTTCAGTTTGCTTCAGTTTTACACGTGTTCTCGTTTCCTAATGTGTGTATTTGACATATTTTTATCTAAACGCTTAATATCTTCAGTTAAAAACATTAATCATAGGTTTTGAACATCACAAATTTGAAAATGTTGTTCTTTAAAGGCTTGTAAAAACTCAATTAAGTCTTTAAACGTGGTGAATAAGCCAATTTGTGTTAATGCAGAAAAATAAATTGTTACAAAAGACCTTGTACTTTTTAAATGGCACGTGTCTCAAACACACAGCTTTTTAATGCCATGTGGCTCATTAAAGTTATCTGCTGTAGCCAGTGATGTTGAATTTTATTTGTTTTTCAGAGATGTTGTTTACTCTGAATCCCGAAAGAGTGTTGTGAAAAAGATTTAATTTTAAGTGTATTTTTAAATAAAATCTCTCATAAAAGTTTTCAAATGTTACAGCACTAATAAATAAATTAAAAAAACTCAGCCTTATTTTAAGTCACGTGTATTTTTCCCCTCCCTAAACAGTTTAGCCATTATTTGAGATTTCTTCCAGGAGTTTTAAGTTTCCTTTTCATCCACTGTCACATTTTCCACAGAGTTAGTGTTGGAGCTGGGAGAGGAGCTGCAGGAGTTCCAGGATGTGGTGGAGGAGCTGAAAGCTCCCTCTCAGAGCAAACCTCATGCTTACCAGCACGTCCTGCACGAGGCGAAGAGTCGCAAAGGGCAGGGGGATGACAGCGGCRTGGACGATTCTGATTACAGTGAGTTTCATAAGATGCCAGAGATGACATCATTGGGATTGGGATCAATGCTTCCWCTGTGTGTTTTCATGAAAAAGACGTTTTTATATTGCCCTCGTGCTCAGGCGTCTTTATTAGCTTAAACAAGTGTGGTTTGACACTTATAATTTGCTCACAGCACAAGAGGCCACATCTCTACAAAAGTGGCTGTTTTGCTAATGACAACAGCCATGTTTGAGAATGAACTCCAATTATGGAGAACCCATCTTTACTAATGGTCTTTTTTTCCTCCTACTGTTGCTCATTTGTCAACAGTTATGAGATAAAGGACGAGATGTTTGTCTCTGCTCCCATGCATCATTACTGAAAGCATGTTGGCCCAGTAAAAAACTGCTTTCAAGTTTTCAGGCTGGCACATGGGAGTCTCACACACATACAGGCGTTTACCTTCATTAGTTTCAGTGTTTTGTTTTTATTTATTAAAATAATTTGATAGTTTGATTTTGCAATTTCACTACTTTGCATAGATGATGCTATTTTAACCGCACATGAGTCATATGTCAAAATGTTTAGGTCATTCATTAGGTCATTTTTAAAGACACTTGTACTTTTCAAATCTTTTGACTTTATTTGCTACAACATAAAAAGCTCTTTAATTACWTCAAAAAACAGTGTTGTTTATAAAATTCATTTCAACATACTTGCTGCATTTTTGTTTTCCCATTCTACTTTAAAATTTTAGCTAGTGTTCTGCTAAAAGGTTAGCTTGTAGGTAAACCTTTCCTACTTTTAACTCCAGAAAAAATAGCAGTTTTAGCTTTTAACTAGCCTTTTTCTATTAGTTTTTAGATAGCATTTTGCTACTTTTAGATTTTAGCTAGCCTTTGGTTATATTAAATTTATAAGTAGCCTTTTTATGCTTTAAGCTGGCTTATTCAATATCTTTAGCTCTTTTGATACTTTTAGCTAGTCTTTAGTTATATTAAGCTTATAGCTAGCTCTTTGCTTCTTTTAGCTGCAGGATACTTTGCTACCTAATCGTTAGTTGGCTGTTTTTTATTATTATTATTTTTTTTAGCTTTTATAGTGATTTGCTACTTCTATTTTTGCAACTTTTAGGTTTTAGAAAGTGTTTTGCTTTTTTATCTGATTTGGCTTCTTTTTCTTTCTAACAGTTGCTACAGGTTCTTTAGCAAATTTAGCACACAACATTGCCAAAATACATGTTCTCCTGTTTTATAAGTTATTCTTATTCTGAGCAGTCCCTGCTTTATGCTAACATCTGATTATCAGTGTGGAATGCCCTGTGTGTTGATTATCTCTCTCTTCCCTTCAGGCAGTGAGACTTCTATGGGGAACAGTTTGAACACCAGCGAGGAGGAGCTCCACACTGCAGGCGTAACACAGACACCGAAAGGTACTGCATCCTCCTATCAGCCCATCTCCATCCAGATAGCCTTTGTTTTAAACCGTTGATCACTATCACTTTTGCTCTGATCGCCTTAACAATCGCACTCAGAGCCTCCAGGAGCTCTTTGTTGTAACACAACAGAGCCCCTCCCGTTGTGACTGTGACATCTCTTTCAAAGTCTCCTGCAGTTTATTTGCTGTTATTCACTCAGCAGACTCTGCTGTGTGTGTGTGTAACGTGTTGTATTCTGATGCATTTAAATGCACAGACTGTTCAACTAAAATGGGTAAAAAAAACAAGAGGCCCGGCCCAGAAGGTGTCATTTGCGCTGCGTGGTTTTCCTGCTCAGTCACTCACACAGTCACCACAGGGATCCTGGCGGGATCCATCAAACTGTCAGGGCTTTCGAGGCGCCTATTGTTATTTCTGTGGCCCCTTAAAAACAAACTAACAATATTCTAATCACCTACCAGTGCATGAATTTCAATTAAGYGCTTCTAAGTTCAATATTTGATACACATCTACAACAAATTAACTGGTCGCCATAACTAATCAACCTTAAAAAAACAAGCAAACAAAGTTAGTTTTCTATGGTGTAAAAGTGTAAGTAAGGCTGTTTTTAAGGCTTTGCTTATTGATTTTGGGAAAGAACCATCTGTAAATTGAATTACATTTTTACATTTGTAAATGTTTTAACCGAGGAATCTTTTATTTAATCTATCTATGATGATGCTGTTTCTGTTTTATGTTTTGTAACGTCTGTGCATTGCTGCCAGTTTTGGTCAGGATTCCCTTGCAAGAGCTTCTTAATCTCTTTTTTTCCCACTTCAGTAGAAAGCAGAACTGAATATCTGAATATTAGTATCTTAGCTTCTTCATCATCAGCGGCATTTTTTAATAAGAGAAAAAGAAAGAGAAAGAAAAAAGTGAAATGTAATGAGAAAGAGTGAAAGAGAGATTAGAAGATATG